CTTCGAAGATGATCAAGGTGTCCTAAGAGTAAAAGAGAGGCTTCAGTGGAGTGATTCGAGCTTTGATGAGAAGCATCCTATTATTTTACCAAGAGAAAGTCACTTTTCAGAACTCCTAGTTGTGAATGCGCATCAAGTAACAATGCACGGTGGCGTTGCGGCAACATTGACACATCTAAGAACGAAATTTTGGATTCTGCGTGCCCGTCAGATGGTGAAATATGTGATAAAGAAATGCATCACATGTAAGACATTCAATTCTAGACCAATTGCACAAGAAATTCCACCACTACCAGCTGACAGGATAACACAGACGAGGCCATTCGACACAGTTGGTATAGACTTTGCTGGACCGCTAAATGCTCGAGAGGAGAAAGGCGAAAAAGTTACAAAGTTTTACATTGTGATATTCACCTGTGCAGTAACAAGAGCCATACAACTGGAGTTGGTCAAGAGGATGTCATCAGAAGCGTTTATACAAGCATTCCGAAGATTCGTAGCTAGAAGAGGATTGTGTAGAGCTATTTACGTGATAATGCAAGAGCATTCAAGAAATCTGAGAAAGAGATGAACAAGATATTAAAGATGGAAGATGAAAGGGTTCAACAGTATACCAGTAACCTGAAAATAAAATGGAAGTTTATTGTAGAGTTAGCTCCATGGCAGGGAGGATTTTATGAAAGACTGATCAGAAGCTTTAAGACATCCATGGCAAAAACTATAGGTGCTCGACTTTTGGATGAAGAAGAACTATGGACTGTGGTTGTTGAAGCAGAAGGAGTACTTAACAACCGGCCTCTCGCTTATGTGTATGACGATCCTAACGAGCCACAACATATCACACCAGCGGACGTTATAGGAGGCAGGCAAACAATGAACAAGCAGGAAGAAAACAGACTCGGAGAATACAGTTTGCTGAATTACTGGAGTGCAAGAAAACGGGCAATGATAACATGGTGGACCAGATGGAAAAAGGAGTACCTGAGGGAGCTTAAGTGTGCCCGCAGAAAAACAGAGCGTCACAGAAATGTACAAGAAGATGTACTTCTGCTTGGAGAAGCGCGAAAAAGAACTCGGTGGAAACTCTGCAAGGTCGAAAAGATTTTCCCAGGCAAGAATGGACTAGTGAGAACATGCTTGCTTTGTACACCTGAAGGAAAATTAGTCAAGAAGCCAATTCAACTGTTGTATTCGCTCGAAGGTTGCTTCGGTTGAGTGTGGCCGGCGGGAAGATGTAGAAAGCAGATTAAAGATGGAGCTCGGAGGCGAGGAAGAAGAAGTAGCCAGGGGCACGCTCTACATTTTTTTCTCCTGTTCTGTCAACAATAAATCGAAGACGTATCGGTTCTGCGGTCTCTCTGGTCCTTCTGAAACAACTCCTATTCCAGCAAAGGCACGCGAGTGTGACAAAACGACTTTTACCCCCAACAGTTACTGTGTGGTTGTCCCACCTCGAACGAGCAATGCAATGTCATCGGCAAAGCGCAGGTTGCTGAGGCACTCTCCATTAACTCTTATGCATAGCTCTTCCTACTCTATGCCTCTGAAAACCTCTTGTAAGTACGCGGTAAATAGCATTGGGGAGAATGTATCCCCTTGTCTCACACCCTTGCTTATTAGCATTCTGTCACTTTCTTTATGGAGCACAAATTAAGGTGCCAGTGGATTCTCTGTCTTCCAGGATGTTTATATATAATTGGTCGACACCCTGATTCAGCACTGTCTGCATGACTGCTGATATTTATACGAAATCAAATGCCTTCTCGTAATCTATGAAAGCTATGTTTAGTGGTAGGCTGTATCTGAGAACGTCTCTATTACCGGATTGGTAATAGCATGAATGGCGTCGACTGTTGTGTATCCGGTTGAAATCCTGCTTGTTCTTTGTTGATTGAATTTTAATGTCTTAATTCTGTTAGCAATTAGCTTTGTATATAGCTTGCATACGATGGAGAGCAAGCTGATCGGCCTATAATTATTCAAGCTCATGTCATCACATTTCTTCTGTATTAAGATGATATTATCATTTTTCCAAGATTCTGGTACTCTTCCCGTCAGGAGACACCTCGTAAACTGGGTGGCTATAGTTTTCAAGCACAATCTGTCCTCCATCTTTCAACAGATCTGATGTTAACTGATTCTTACAAGCAGCTTTGCCTCTTTGCATGCTCTCCAAGGCTTTTCTGACTCCACCTATCATTACTGGCGGGGTGCCATCAGGATTACTTCTACTTCGTGTAGTAAGGTCGTGGTTGTCTCGGCTACATACAAATCTTTGTAAAGCTCCTCCACTATTTTAACTATCCTATCTATATTGGTAGTTACTTTGCCTTCCTTGTCCCTTAGTGGATACATCGGGTTTTCGCCTATCTCAAGTATCCTCATCACCGCTTAGAGGCTTCTTCCATTTTTTTAAAGCGGGTTCAATTTTCTCCATGTTATACCTTCTTAAATCGGTTACCTTACGCTTATTATTCAACTTAATGCAATGTTATCAGCAAAGCGCAGGTTACTAAGGCACTATCCACTGGTAGAACTTCTGAAGTTCTACCAGTTCTAACATGTCTGTTGTGTTTGAGGTTTTCATGTTTTCACGTTTCTTAATGAGGTTTTCGTCTCCTGCTACAGCTTGCCAATGTGGTGTCTGACTATCGTACCTAAATCTTCCAATGCACACTTTGTAATGCGTCAAAGAACCCACTATCGTGTCTCATAATATATCTATGACAAATGGTGCATTGCTGAGTGCGAATGTTGAAACCTTGAGACGTTGTACCACTCCGTTCAGTTCTTTCTATGATACTAAAACCAAACCACATTCGAACGGCCCACATTCGCATCCCTTTTTCTAAAGCCAGCTGTAGCATGGTGATTACAGTGTACCCCAGAAGTGCCTTTTTTACTGAATGTTGCTGTACTACGTCTGCACTGTGTGCTATAATAATCCCATAATAAACTCATGCTATTTCTCGAACGTCCCACGTGTTAGTAGAGACCGGCGAACGAGCCCGGCGAGCACGGGAATTGCACCGCCTTCAGTGCCAACTGTCAAAACGCTTCCCAGGCATAGTCCAACTACGTGCAACCACGTGCATAACGTGTGCAAATCACATTCACCTGTTGCATCAGCGGTGCAGCGCAACATAGACAAACAAATTTCCCAAGTTCGCCTCTGTAAAAATTACATAGTCTTAGGACATGTTTTTTTCGTTTTTCGCTTAGTTTACGCGATGGTTTTGAATTCCAAGTTATCATTTTACTTGCCCTTGAGTGCAGGCCCTTAAGACGAGGTCGTCGGGTAGGTTCTGATATTTTTCGTAGCAAGATACTCGATATGGAAAGAGTTAACTTCAAAAACTCTGTTGACTTGCTTCGTGCTCCCCACGACAGTGATTGATTGATTGATATGTGGAGCTTAATGTCCCAAAACCACCAATTGATTACGATAGATGCTGTAGTGGAGGGCTCCGAAAATTTCGACCACCTGGCGTTCTTTAACGTGCACCCAAACCTGAGCACAAGGGCCTACAACATTCCCGCATCCATCGGAAATGCAGCCCCAGCAGCCAGGAGTTCCACGACAGTGATTGCGCAGTTTTTTTACGTCCACGTGGCATTTAATCAAGCATTATAGAGAACCAGCAGACAATAATGTCATGTATAGCATGTAATAACTTCAGCATTTGTGATATAACGTCAAGAAAGTAAAGCGTACGCAAAGATAAGTTGCCGCTAGCTGGAACTGGTCAAACCCGCAACCTTGTTCGATTCGAAGGTAGGGGATTGGGTCCCTGCCGGAGGCAAATCACCCTTTCTTCCTCCTTTACTTTCTTGACATTTATAATTTTTGCAAATAATACGCTCTGTACTTTCCATGGCAATAATATAGGCTACCTATAAATACTATCGTGCCCAACAAAGAAAAAAAAGCAGCCACAAAAATTGTCCTCTTTTCTTCTTTTATTTCTGCAGTGCTTTTAACACGTAAAATCCCAGTCTTGCAAGGTGGAGAAGCTCCGGCCTCAGTGACCCATTAAAATTCTTTGTGCCAGCGTTGCTCATCTTGTGTCCTTCTGTTTCTATTCCCCATTCCATTAATTCCAGAGCAGGGTAGTAAACCCGATGTTCGCATGATTGACCTTCCTCCCTCTCCTCGTCATAGCTTTTCTCTCTTTTACTTTCCCTACCTTCGCCCCTGATTTTTACTTGTGTTTGAATATACATGAATATTACCTCTTCAAATGTTTGCGCAAATGCACCTCTTTTGCTTTCCTGTAACAAAGTAAATTTACCCCATTGCACCCAACGCGTAATCTACAGGAACATTGTAGCTGCAGCTCTCCTTAATTTACCGTCATTTTCTCTGATGCTTTGTGATTTTGTGTGTGCTTATTGTTGCGTTGCGTTACTAGAAGAGTAAAGACAAAGGGGAAGGTACGTGCACCAACCCTTGCAGAACATGGCCCTGGTAGGGCGACTTGCAGCCCTATTCATGCTCGAGACACCCCTTCCTCGTCTCACTCAGTGCCTTCTGCTTCTTCCGCGGCCAAAGTTGTGGTGCCGTCTATGGGATTATCCTAATTGCGGTTCACGGAAGCGAGACATGCGACCCGGACGCTAATCTTTCATCAGACTCAGCCCTTAAACAGGTCACACGTTAAAAAAGAAAATGCAATGATCACGTAATGGTCAGCGCTTTGCTGCAGTGGTCGGAGTCCTTTCTGTGGCTACAGTGGTTGAAATGGGGCGACGTTTCGGCACCATTTTTCTGTCGCTGCTATCTGATAACGGCGAGAACGCACAATGAGTGAAGAAAAGTTATTGCATAAATTCTAAAAAGAAAAGAAAAGCGAACGTAATCACAGTTCTTGGTGTTTGGGTTTAATGGGTTGTCTCTTTCATTCGCCTGTAATACGTGTTTAGCACGGGTTGTTGCGCACGCGTAAACCTGCCGAAGCCACCTCTCCTCACTCTGTGGCCTTCTGCATACACTGGCGCAGGTGACTAGCGAGGATGTGATCCTGGCCTACCAGCGCCGCGTGCGCGAAGTGGACCCTGTGCTGAACGCCGTGGTGGACGAGCGCTTCGAGGCGGCTCTGGAAGAAGCCCGGGCAGTCGACGAACTCGTCAGAAGGAGCTCGCCCGATGAACTAGAGCGCACCAAGCCTCTCCTCGGCGTACCTTTCATTACGAAGAATTCCGTGATGATTAAAGGTGTGTAGAATATTGCTAAAGGCGAAAGCCATATGTGCCGAATCAAATGGAAAAACGGTCCATCGGAGACGTCCGGTGGAGTCAACAGTGGGACGCAAGAAATCTACACGGTGTCACAGAACGCTGAAATTTGTGTCATCAGGACGACATCATTATGGCGTCACCTTCACGCAACATAGCGTGACGTGGCACTGAGACGTTATCGCGTTGTATCGTCACTTGCTCAAAAGCGAGCCAGTCACGGAGACGGGAGAAAACCAGGCGGGGTGCGCAAAGTTTGGAATGCCTCCGATCCTGCATACGCAGTGCTAAAACGCGTAAGATGCATTGTGCTTTCGCAGAGAGGCGTAGAAGGATCAATACTTCGACTGAGCAGACTTAGCTGAACAAGAAGAAAAAGGAGGTGTTTTTCATCTTATAGAGTCGTCTTAGGCGAATGCGTAAAAAACCCTGTAATTTGGAAGAGGGGGTGGGGGGCGGGGAGCTTTTTTTAAATAAACGTTGTATTCCGGTGTGAACATGGTATAGTTGACAATTATATGAGACTAAAAAATCAGGTGTAAAATAGATTTCCCCGTAGCTATAAGCTACATATAAGGTCAGCGTTTTCTGTTCCTCTCGAACATAAGTTATCGAGAAGAGTACTGAAGAGTTTATCTCTACCAAAATGTGCCTAGATGTTGAGGCTTCTCAAGGAAATCTTTAACACAAAGGTTCACGTCGCGCATTTTATGTCTCCACAAATTACCCATAGCTGTATCATGCCGCAGGTGAGATGGCTGGTTCTTGGATTCACTTTCGAGGCATGTACGCCACTCCAGCAATTACCTAAATCCTCCTTTAATGGTTTAAAATGACTGGAAGGCTAAATTTATGTCCCTCAACCTGTATTATATGAGGCAATGCTCGGATGAGCTATGGTTACTCACCGATATGATACCCATAGCTTTCTCCACTCGCCATGATTCACTCCATTGATATCCATGGATATTTTATTTGGTGAGCTATAGTTAGGGCAAGCTTGGTATGCGTATTTCGATTTAACCAACACAAAACAAAAGCGTTGAATAATGGATACGAACACGCATTGATTGCAGTTACTACGCTCTTGGCGCTAATCCGTTATTTTTCTCCTGCGAAGGTTCACGACAAGTCCGGGGCATCAACTGAGAATTGGGTGTGTTAATGTAGTTAGTGGCGGGTAAACTATGCAACTAATAAAACATTTCGAGTAGTCGTCATTCTCTCACGGAGCATTTCCGTTAGTTTCAATTACGGGATTCAAATTAAGAAACGTCATTGTATCGGCTGAGAAGCATTGATATACCAAGGTTTTGGGATGAAAAGAGGCTGTGCTTATCACTACAGCCATTGCGTGATAAAATCGGCAATATTCACAGAGAACCAAGAGACTACCATAAATATATATATGAAATAAAATAAACAAACAATCGGTAAAACATAACAATGTATTAATGACTAAATGAATCGGTAATAATTGAAATTTCGTTCCTTACCTAATCAATGTAACACAAGACTTGGAATGCATACTTCTATCGCTTAGTAGTACCTTGGCTTTGCTCTATCACAAATGGTACGTGTCTGCTTGGTTGGCTTTGACAAAAACGCAGCGTCAAAAATGGAGGTTAGAGGCCGTCTATGACTAAAGTCTTCCTAAACGTTAACGTGTTGCTTTTCAAATTTTATTTCAGTGATCATGTACCAAATCAGCCAGCAACACGTTTTGCAAAAAAAAAAAAAAAATCCTGGCTGCAGATTAAGGGCTCACATGATGTTGTCAAGTGTGCAACAATGTGATATGCTACTTGAGCCTGATGTCCAGGTGTTGTGAAATGGCGGCTTTGGTGATTTTTCGGCCTACTTTTTCCCACCCTTAATAAGATTCATTCGAGCCATACTTCAGACGGCAGGCATAATAAAATAAAAACAGTTAATTGACAATTTTTTTGAAATATTACTTCTGAAGAGCTAGAATGAAGAAGAAAAACGATGTTATTTAGCTATCAACATTACGTTATTCCTCAGAGTCTTCAATTTTTTCATTTATGAGTAACATTTCGTGGCATGAAAAAGAGGAGCTCTGTAGAGGTGGAAAATTTGCTTCAAAGGGCTCCCAAATACATATTTGATACCGTCAGATGCATTTCGGTCCCCGCGGTTCAAGTATTGGGCTCACTGTCGTAATTGCTTCGAGAGAGTTTTGTGACATATGATGAGCAAAAAGCGATGTGTATTTGATTTGGTTGATCACGTAAGTTAAAACAAAATAAATATAGGTTGCACAACACTAGGCTGCAAACAAGCCTCTAATTGATGTTAAGGATTGTCTAACATGACAAAGTCTTGTCTAGCGCCTGACTAAAGCGTAAAGAAAATAATAGTGCTCATGACATGAAACTGTTTCTATTAATGTTGCAAAATTTAGGTTCGCAGTGAAAAGCGAACTGCTCGTGGCAGTGAAGTATTCTGTCACTAAGCCAAGCCAGTGCTTGAAGCCACCTTCGAAAAAAATCCTACACGACCAAAACTCGTGTTAATAATGTAATACTGCGTGACGAAAGCAGAATCGCTGCAGGCGTCACACCATGTGAACTTAAAAAAAATGGGAAGTTGAGTGCTGCCAACGCGCTACAAAGGGACTAGTTAGCCATAATTACTCAACAACGGCATCATTTTTAGCCACAGCGTTAACGAAGACGCTGACCTTGAAAACGTAGTGTGTGGTTCAAAAGGGCTCGTGATCTCTCAGGTTCCGATGTTAATGATTGTGGCTTTTGCGTTCGATGTTCCTTGGGTACAGCTCAAGAAGCAATCTTGTCAGTTGTTCTCCGCATCCATGAATGAATGAATGAATGAATGAATGAATGAATGAATGAATGAATGAATGAATGGATGGATGGGTGGATGGATGGATGGAAGGATGGATGGATGGATGGATGGATGGATGGATGGATGGATGGATGGACAGATGGACGGGCGGGCAGGCGGACGGACGGACGGATGGATGGACGGCATCAATCCATTTATCTCTAATACTGCAACTTCGACATCAAGTGATTCAAATGACGCATTGCATATTTAGTTGGCGTGCGCCCCCTGATTGCTGTGTCTCAGTGTCCTGACGTCTCCTCCCACACACATATGGCACACATGGCTCGCTGATTTCATTCACGTGAAGACCCAGTTTTTTATTGTGCTGCGTGAAATTACATACATTTGTGCACACTGTGCACACAATAAGCGCCCGTCTACTACGCGTCTGGAGTTTCCCTGCTCTATGCACTGGTGTTTCGTTTTCCTTATACTTTATTACTCATTCTTTGCTGAAAACAAAAGAGCTGATGGAGGAAAAAGACAAAGTTTCCGGTACGTTCGTGCGTGTGGAAAAGTGACATTTTCAAGTTTTTCTTGTACGAACGCCTGACTCTGTGTTACAGGACTATGAAGCCGACGAACAGGGCAATAAAAAGAAAAAAGCCTAGGCAGCTTCGCTCTAGCCGTGCCAAGCCTGAACAAAGTGCAAAGCTGGGTGGCCGTCTTTGTTTCCTTCACTTTTTCTTTTCTTTCCTCCTCTATTTTCCAGTTTCGCAGTGTTCTTTCACTTTGTTTTCTATTTCGTTGGTTCATCCTACCGTCAAAGCATCCACACTATTTTTTCCTCTCTTCCTCGCTTGCTTCGTTTTTCAATTCTAAGATGGTAGTATTTCTTCCGATACTTCAACGCAAATATTTTAGTCTGTCTCTCTGTTGATGTCTGCCCAACGATCCAGCTACCCGGCGAAAGTTCAAGCCCATGCTCGAAACCCACCCATATTTAACCGGTGACTGCGTTCATACCCGTGAACATTGTGAATCAAGAAAACAAAATACTATGCAAAGTTGGGGCACAACATTAATACGTAAGTGTTAGGCAGTGTGCGTGGTAGTAGCCTATTGAATAGGCTATAGCACCCCCGCTTTTTTTTTGTCTTTTTAGCGCGTCTATAATGCTCATCGCTTTCTTTCTCATCTTTCTTTCGCATTTCTCTTTCCTTTAACGCAGGGTAGCAAACTGAATAGCCCAATTTCTCGTTAACATCTCTGCCTTTCTCTAAATTTATTTTCTCTCTCTCCTAAGGAAGTGTGCATTTTTATTAGGAAAATGCATAAATACGTAATTATAAAAAGCATTAGACTGCACTGACAATGCGGCGCTATGAACAAAAAACAGGTGTTTCCTTCGCTTCGCTAAAACAAAATGAGGGGCTTTAACTGCCACGTGCTGCCACCTGCCAGTGCCTCTCCATTATAAAAAAAAAGTCGAAGTTTCGCTGCAAGGGCGAAGCAATGAATGCGATAGCAATGACTTCGAATGTAACGCTGAGAACGCCTAGCATTTGTGCGTGTGCAGGGCGCTGCTCACGCATAAATGACGCACGAAAACAACACACACAGGACGAGTGCTAACTGACAACGTTTACAACTCGACGCTTAACGTTCTGTTTAAACAAAAACGACGCATGAAATGGAATCACAGGCGCCGATATAAGTGCGGACTAACAAGTGTCCCACTTGTTACTTCGCTGTGTTCGAAAGGCGTGCTCTTTTCGCAAACGGGGCCTGCCCAGCGAGCGAAGTGGACCGTTGTGGCTTGGGAAACTAACGCAATCATTCCGGTGAAAGGCCAAAGCACACGATTCTCCCCATAGGTAAATAGGTGCGAGTGCACAAGCGCCTAATCCCCCGCCCTCACGCGTGAGAAGTACGCGTGGGAGATAAGCGTGCGTTGAAGCATAGCGACAATGTGGGTGCCGAGCGTGGGCGGGGCTTTATTATATGGACCCCTTGGCGGAAATTTTCCGCCGGCATCGTCACCGTCACTCACCGTATATGTACACGTATCTATATATATGAAAATGCAAGAAAGAAAATATCCTGTCAAATACTCCGGCGCGTGGAATCGAACGTGGAACCTCTGAATAGTGAACGCGAAGTGTTAA